GCCAGCTCTTTTTTTCCTGCAGTTTGTTGAAGTCCACACATCGGAAAGTTCCCAAGGTTGGAGACCCCTGATTTAAGACTTGTGGACTTCAACTCCCAGAATTCCCCAGCCAGCTCTTCCCCCCCCCCCAGTTTGCTGAAGTCAAAGATATATTACGCTTACTGCATGCCCACCATCTATTAAGAAAGTTACCCTCCATCACTGACTGAGGAATTCTGGGAGTTGAAGTCCTCCAGGCTTAAAGTTGCCAAGATTGGAGACCCCATGCATTAAAACATTACAGGGACTCCTCGACTTAAAACGTTCATTCGTTTAGTGACTGTTCAAAGTCACCACGGCACTGAAAAAAGTGACTTATGACCAGTCCTCGCTTTTATAACTGTTGCAAGATCCCTATGCGCAAACTTGCAATCGATACGCATTTACGATGGTTGAGGGATCCTGGGTTCATGTGATCCCCAGTTGTGACCTTCCCAAGCAATTTTTGACAAGCAAGGTCAACAGGGGACAGCCGGATTCACTTAATGACCGACTGGTTCATTAACGACTGGGAAAAGGGGCGTAAAACCAGGCGCGGCTCACTGAACGACCAAATTTCTACTTTCCGTTCTGGCCATAAGTTGAAGACTACCTGTCTGCTAAAAAAAAATGCTTTGTATAAAATATCTGAGATGTTTTTTTTCAAGATCTGAAACAGTATAGGGTTTCCTGGCTAGGCAGGGGGTTGGACTAGAAGACCTCCAAGGCCCCTTCCAACTCTGCTGTTGTATTGTATTGTATAGGTTTTCCTCCGTTTCCTAAGCTGAATTTCTGTTTTTTAACGCCCGTAACTCTCACTGCGTCAATTCTGTGGCTCTCTGCGATTTCTCAAGATCTGTTGACCCTTTCGAGATGATTATGGCCTCATGTTTTTGCGGATTGCGGTGACGAGAATTATCTCGAGGGGCCAACCCATTGCTGAGCAAGCGAAGGAACAGGAAAAGCAGAAGAGCTCAGAGGAAATTAAATGCAATGATATGCACGAGAGGCACTCAGCCGTGATAACAACGCTCCTACAATTCCTGGCCCTTGTCAAAACAGAGGTGTAGAATCAAAATTCCCACGAAGGTTTGTAAAGCCTTAGTAAGGCCGCGCCTGGAATCCTGCATCCAGTTTTGGTCAACACGTTACAAAAAAGATGTTGAGACTTTGTAAAAAAAAAAATGCAGAGAAGAGCAACTAAGAAGTTCTCAGAGGCCTGGAGACTAAAACATATAAAGAACAGATGTACGTTTTGGGATTTGATCAGTCTAGAGAAAAGAGGAATTAGGGGTGACACGATAGCAGGATTCCAATATTTGGGAGGGCTGCCACAAAGAAGAGGGGGTCAATTTATTCTCCAAAGCATCTGAAGGCAGGACAAGAAGCAGTGGGTGGAAACTAACCACGGAGAGGAGCAACCTGGAATTAAGGAGAGACTTCCTAACAACGAAGACAATGAACCAGTGGAACAGCTTGCCACCAGAAGTTGTGGGTGCTTCGTCACTGGAGGTTTTGAAGAAGAGGCTGGACAGTCTCAAACTGTGTAGGTGTTAAGCCTCCAGCCATCTTTTAATTTGGATCTTTGGCCTGCCACACTTTCTATTATTCGACTAGGCATTTTTCTATTGTGGGAAAATGGATTGTATGGAGTTAGATGCTATGTAGTCATAACAACATTCTTTCTAGAAAACCAAGGTCATCCTTTGTCTTTGGCCCCTTCTGCGTCTGACCGGAACTGGATGGGTGGAAGCTGCCAGCATGGCAGTGGAAGATGGGACCCTGGGATGGACTTGTGGGTGTGGGGGCAAGGTCTTGAACTTTCAACTGGGTGGGGGAAAACCGGGAAGCTTTCAGATTTGGGTTTCCGCAGATGTGCCAACATGGCTCTCTTAATAAATGGGAACTTTGAGCAATACTTTGCCTCGGACTCTGATTTACTTTTGGATGCTATTCGTAACCCTGACAGTAGGGTGTCCTGCTTGAGCAGGAGGCTGGACTAGAAGACCTCGACGGTCCCTTCCAGCTCTGTGCATTATAGCAATATTGTGTGTGATTCAGGCATTGCGCGGCAACAATTTCTGGCCTTATGATAACCCAACGGCTCTGATTAATCGTGGAGAAACAAAACAATTATCTTGTTTCACAATATATTGCAAGAGATACGCCCGAATTAAGAGGTGGCACGGCAGGCCGAAAACACAAACAGGCCTTGGCTTGACCTGTGGAACTTCCTAGAACAGAAGCTGGCTGATACAACCAGCTATACCAGATCCACATCCATTAATTCATAGATTTGTTAATTCACCAGGTCAAAGGCTGCCACATTTTCCCGCAGAGACGTGGGTGAAGAGACCTTCGTTAAACGTGCAAATCGAGAAAAACGAGGCAGAAGAAAGAGAAAGAGGGAGAGAGAGAGAGAGCAAGAAAGAGAGTGAGAGAGAAAGAGAGAAAAAGATAGAGAGAAAAAAGAAAGACAGCGAGAGAGAGAGTGAAAGAGAGAGAGAGAAAAAAGAGAGAAAAAAGAAAGAGAATGAGAAAGAGAGAGAAAGAGAGAAAAAAGAAAGAGCGCGAGAGAGAAAGAGAAAAAGAGAAAGAGAGAGAAAGAAAAAGAAAGAGAAAGAAAAGGGGAGAAAGAGAAAGAAAGAAACAGAGAGAGAAAGAAAAAGAGACCGAGTGAGAGAAAGAGAAAAAGAAAGAAAAAGAAAGAGAGACAGCGAGAAAGAGAAAGAGAGAGAAAGAGAGAAAAAATGAAAGAGAGAAAAAATGAAAGAGAGAAAAAAGAAAGAGCGCGAGAGGGAAAGAGAAAGAGAGAGAGAAAGAGAGAGAAAGAAAAAGAAAAAGAAAGAAAAAAGGAGAAAGAGAAAGAAAGAAACAGAGAGAGGAGAAAGAAACAGAGTGAGAGAAAGAGAATGAGAAAGAGAAAGAAAGAGAAAGAGAGACAGCGAGAAAGAGAAAGAGAGAGAAAGAGAGAAAAAAAAGAAAGAGAAAAAGAGCAAGAGAAAGAGAGAGAGAGGAAGAAAAAGAAAAAAGGAGAAAGAGAAAGAAACAGAGAGAGAGGAAAAAGAAAAAGGGATACAGTGAGAGAGAGAGAGAAAGAAAAAGAAAAAGAAAGAGAGAGATAGCAAGAAAGAGAAAGAGAAAAAAGAAAGAGAGAGACGAGACAGAAAGAGAGAGAGAGAAGGAAAAAGAAAAAGAAAGGGAAAGAAAAAGGGAGAAAGAGAAAGAAAGAAACAGAGAAAGAGAGAGGAGAAAGAAAAAGAGAGAGAAAGAAAACGGAAGAGAGAGCGTGAGAAAAAGAGAGAGAAAAAGAAAGAGAGAAAAAAGAAAGAGCGAGAGAGAAAGAGAAAGAAAAAGAAAGAGAGAGAGAGAGAAAAGAAAAGAAAACGTAGAATCGAGAGCAATGGGATCTTGAAGGAAGAGAATTATGAGGAGAATTGATTGAAGCAACAGAGGAAGTTACGCATAAACCCAAGGAGGGAACCACATGGGAAAGGAAATAATAATGGACATTTCTCCTTCTTTAACAAGGCTCTGGATCAGTGGTGGGATTCAGCCGGTTCGCACCAGCCCGGCAGAACCGGTTGGTAACTTTCTGAGCAGTTTGGTGAACTGGTTGTCGGAAGAAATCATTAGGGCAGAGAACCGGTGGTTCAATCATTTGAATCCCACCACTGCTCTGGATCCGTAGTCGGAGGCTACGGGGAAGGGAGAGGAAGCCATTCGCCACTCACCATGGCCGAGACGACGCGGGAAACCATGATCGGATCTGCCCGGCTTGAGTGAGGCATCCCCCGCTTATCCAGCATGAACAAACAAGCATCCAGGATCCCGTGGTCAAACTGAGGGGAGACAAGAAGGAAGGTCATCGGAGCAGGGAAACCATGGCTTCCCAGATCAACCTCTGGTCTGTTTTGGGACAAAGGAATCCACCTCTGGGCGACGAGGACTCCACCCCTGGGGTGGCCATTTTGACTTTTTTGACCACATTCCAAGGATTCTCCTGCCCTCATGAGAAATGTAGCCATCTTCGCATCGTTTTCAGTCTTCCTTCTTTCATTTCATCCATCCTTTCCTTCTCCTTCCTTCCTTTTCTTTCCTCCTTTCCTTCCTCCTTTCCTTTCCTTCCCTTCCCTCTTTAGCATTTCTCTTTCCTTTCTTCTTTTCCATTTTCCTTCCTTCTTTCCTTCCTTCCTTCCTCCCCTTTCCTCTTTTCCATTTCTCTTTCCTCTTTTCCTTTCCTCTTTTCCATTTTCCTTCCTTCCTCCCCGTTCCTCTTTTCCATTTCTCTCTCCTCTTTTCCTTTCCTCTTTTCCATTTTCCTTTCCTTCCTTTCTTTTCTCCTATTTTCCTTTCCTCTTTTCTCCTTCCTCTTTCCCTTTCCTCTTTCCTTTTTCTCTTTTCCTTTCCTTTCCTCTTTTCCTTCCTTTCCCTTCATCAACTTTTGTTTATACAGAATACAGAACAGCAGAGTTGGAAGGGATCCTGGAGGTCTTCTAGTCCACCCCCCTATATACCATTTCAGAATAACAGAGTTGGAAGAGACCTTGTAGGTCATCTAGTCCAACCCCCTGCCCAAGCAGGAGACCCTACACCATTTCAGACAAATGTCTGTCTGTCTGTCTGTCTGTCTGTCTGTCTGTCTGTCTGTCTGTCTGTCTGTCTGT